AACTGCTTGAAACGTTGCTGGTGCGTTGGTAAGGCCGAAAGGCATTATGAGAAACTCATAGTGCCCCTCGTGTGTCCGAAATGCAGTCTTTGGTGTGTCTTCGGGTTTCACTCTGATTTGATGATAACCTGACTTTAAGTCGAGTTTTGAAAATACAGTTGCCCCGTCTAACTCATCAAACAGTTCGTCGATAGCGGGGATTGGAAATTTATCCGGAACTGTCACCTTGTTAACGGCCCGATAATCTACACAAAATCGCCAGCCTTTGTCTTTCTTTTTCACTAATAAAACAGGGCTGGAAAACGGGCTAATGCTTGGTTTTATGATTCCCGATGCCAACATTTCTTTGACGATACGCTCGATCTCATTTTTCTGATAATAAGGGTATCGGTAGGGTCTGAGGTTTGGTGGTTGTGTGCCGGGAACTAGCTGAATGGCATGGTCCTTTGACCTGGTTAGCGGTAACCCGGAGAGTGGCTCGAAGACTTGACTATACTATCCCAGTACTTTCAGCAGTCTGTCATCAATAGCCCCCATATTTTCACACTGAGTCTGCAGCTGCCCGAACTCGATCAAACAGCCCTGTCTTTCACTTTGTAATGCCTTAATCATCGCCTTGAGTGATACCATGGTCTTGCTAAGAGAGGGATCACCATACAAACAGATTGCCTGGGGTCCCATTGTGAATTTCATAGTTTGTTTTCTCCAGTCTGTAATAGTCTCACCCAATGTCTCAAGCCAGGCAATACCCAGGACTACGTCCGCGCTACTCATCTCAAATGGAAAAAAGTTTTGCACGATTGTCACCGTTGGTAACTCCAGACACACATCCTTACATTCCCCTTCACATCTCACACTATATCCATCACCTACTCTGACCCCAAAGGACTGAGTCCTTTCCACTGGTATCCCCAATTTTTCAACCACTTTCGAGCTAATGAAATTGTGGGAAGCCCCACTATCAATCAACACAATCCATTCCTTACCTTGGATTCTCCCTTTGAGCTTCATAGTCTTTGGTCCCTGAATTCCCACCACCGAGCTAAGGGAGAGCTCTACGTTTTCCTATGGGTGCTCTAATTCAGCTGTGACAGTTTCTCCACCCCCACTTGGGTCTGGGTCATCTTCTTCGTCGTCAATCAAGAGGATTTGAAACTGTTTATCACCACATTTATGCCCTAGCGAGTATTTCCCATCGCATCTGAAACAGATTCCCTTCTCTCGTTTCCTCTGAATCTCGGCGTCTGTCATCCGACGAAAAGGAAAGTCATGTCGTGGAAAGCTTGGTCTTTCAAATGGCCGAGAGTTCGTCGTTGTAGATTCACGAGTGGAAGCAGTCGTCGATGAAGCTGGCTGGAAGGATTCAGGTGTTCGTCGATTGGAAGGGGAAAAAAAATTAGAGTTAGATTTTAGGGATTCTATCGCGTTAGGGAATTTGGGGTTATTTTCATTTCGGGTCGGGTTGGGGCTGAATAATCTGGGTTCACTCTTGGATCCATATTGAAAACCAGGCCCAACTGAACGTGAACCATTGTTTGCTTCTCCTTGGGCTTCTTCTAAAGCCTGGTTCTTATCTTCAATCCGTTGGGCTAGCTTAATCATTTGAGTTAAGGAGTTGGGTTGGGCCAATCTCACCTCAGCCCTAATCTTTGCTTTTAACCCATTAACAAATGCAGCTTGTAGGATCTCCTCTTTCTCCCCTACCAGTAGTGCTGCGACTGCCTCAAACTTACGACAGAACTCCACCACTGAGCTTGTCTGTTTCATTGCCATTAATGATTCATATGGGTTGAGTTCTTGGGATCCACTAAATCTTTGCAGTAGAGCTAACTTGAACATAGCCCAAGAGCTCGCCGGCGTCCTGGATTCTGTCCACTGGAACCAATTGATGGCTTCTCCTTCCATGCAGACAGCTGCTGTCGCCAACCTTCCTTCCTCCGATATTCCATTGATGTTGAAGTACCTCTCAACCCTGAAGATCCAACCGTAGGGATCTTCACCTGAAAAGATGGGCATTTCCAATTTTCGCCCCCCTATTTCATTATGGTTATGGTGACTACTTCCTGGCCCACTGGCTCCATTTTCGTCATGGTGAGACTGATTATTTTCTCCATAATGTCCCTCTGCTCTCTCACCCTCTTCTTCATTCTTTCGTCTAACCCAAGATTGTAGCTCCACCAAACATTCTCTGATGGTACCCATTTCCACTCCCAGCTTTGTCACTTCTTTCTCAACATTATCGAGTCTAGAATCCATCCTCGTCACAACCATTACCCAGACCACTCTGCTCGGATACCACTTGATAGGACCTGACCTGCAATCTGGACGAAACTACCAACGCAATCCACACTCACACGCCAAAATCAATATTTAACGAAAAGAATCTGTTATATTAATCACCCTAAAAGCATACAGCCTTATCAATAAAGCTAACAATCCTTTCCTAGCAAAGCTCAAAAACAAACAACAATTAACTCAGAAAGACAATGTAAATACACCAGAAAATGATGAGTAACAGACTGACTTCGAGGGTCAGCCACCTCCCCAAACACTGACTTCGAGGGTCACTAGCCTCCCTGCAATTTCACTCTCAAAATCCAGTTCTCTCCCCTTTTTCTCTTCTCCCCTTTTTATTCTGTTTTGTCACTTGTATGTTCTAACTGAATTCTCCCCCATCCCCTCATATCCTGCCACCCATAACAAATCCCAACTGCCTAATATTCCCCTACTTTTTACCACCACCCTTCCTGTGGTACACCAGCTTTGTTTGATGCTCATTAGAAAACAATTAGAGATAATATTGATAGAATTAGACATTCTTTAGCTTGGATTACTAGTAGTAATAAAAGAAATGCTGAATTTCAAGATGTTTGTATAAAATCAAATATGTCTTTTAGAACTTTTGCATTAGACATGCATGTTAGATGGAATAGTGTTTATTTAATGTTTGATTTATGTTTACCTTATACAAATTTAATTAGTTATTTTGTAGCAAATAATAAAGGTCCTCATTATTTTGTAGAAAATGATTGGTATATAGCTAAAACATTTTATTCTTTTCTTAAATTTTTTTACCAATCTACTTTACAACTTTCTAGTGTGTATTATCCTACTAGTCCATGGGTAATACATACAATTATAAAAATTTTAGAGTTATTTAGAAAAAACAAAAACAATGAAATTTTAAGGGAACCAATAAAGGCAATGGAAATTTTTTTTTTTTTAAATATTGGAAATCCATTCATTTTCTTTATTGTTTAGGTGCTATATTTGATCCTAGAATTAAAGTAGCTAGTTTAGAAAATGGTTTAGACACAATAACTGAAAATTTACAAAACGAAGCATATGCCAATCAATTAGGAGAGGTAAGAGATTGTCTTATAGATGTATATTTCTAATATGAAAACATGTATGAGAACCCGCAAAGATGCGAAATACCCAGGGAAGTTGCATCAGAAGAAACAAATTAAAACTTCTACTCTTGGAGTGCATTTAATAGGTCAAAGAAGACCCGAACCCGAAGCACAACCTCCTCTTCAAAAGCACCAACAACGAATATACTGTCCTCCATGTAGTCACAGAGTAACGAGCTTCAACAATATTTGGGAACCCCCGAAATGTTACCAGCAGATCCACAACAAAGAGCCAATTTTGATGTCTTAGAATATTGGAAAATTAGAAAATGTATTTTTCCGGTATTATCAAGACTTGCCTTGGATATTTTTGCTGTTCCTGTCTCAACCGTCTCATCCGAACAAACATTTAGTGCAAGTGGAAGAATTTTAAATGAAAGGAGGACTAAACTTTCACAAAAAATGATTGAAGTCCTTACATGTCTTCGAGATTAGGAACGGTCGCGCCATCAAGATCAATACGAGGTTGTTGACGATACTTTAATAGAATCATTTCAATTTTGTAATATAGATGATACGGATGAGGGAGGTCCTAGTCAACTCCTAAATTAGTTGTTTTGTAAATTGTAACTTGTAAATTAATTGTCAATTATTGCACTCTTTTTTCTTTACCAAGTTTTTGTCCTATTAGGTTTTTATTGGTGAGGTTTTAACGAGGCAATAATTGTTGTAATTTCTTATTTTATTTTTTGATAAATGAATAAATCTAATTTTTCTTATATTACAATTTTATTGTATTAAAATTGAATTAACATTTGAAATGTTAACAAAAAAAAAAAAATTTAATTTAATTGAATTTTGATATTTGAAAAGTTAACTAAAAACAATTATACAAAACAAAACAAAAAATTAAATAAAAAGGGGGGTGGGGGTGGGGGTGGGGGGTTACTTTTCCAACATTAGAGGCGTTTTTGGTCCGAATGGTAGTGTTCTCAGCTTCCAGTGCTGCCACCTTGTTTGAGTGCTGTTGCATAAGGGCAATCAGAGCTCCCAGTCTGGCCTCGAGGCTAAGATTGGTGTTATCAGAATTTTCAGCCCTAGAGAGTTTCCTTACGAAGCAGGGTTTGAAAGATGAATGATTGCCAAAGACCCCACTGTGGATGCCAAACTGTAGATGCAAAAAATCTATCTTTACGAAAATAGGGACTGATCCCGTGAAGTTGAGGTCACTAGCAATCCGCTGTACCTGTACACGGAAGAAAACAAGCGTGAAGCGAACGGGAAACACCAAGGTGGTGTTTGCCGTAGGCACTTCGACGCTCAAGTCAGCAAGGCCGAGTGAGGCTAATTTAGTGAGGGTTAGAGAGAGAAAAGGTTACCAGAAGTCTAGTCGGAGACTATAACTACGAATGTGATGCGAAATTCTCGAGAGCGAGAACTGTGGGGTTTGAAGGTGTAATGTTCGTCCCTTGTGAGAGGGTTGACCTCTGTTTAAATAGTGATTATAAGATCTTCGAATCCTAGTAGGACTGTGAGTCTTGGAGTTGAGGTTTCGTGAAAAAGGAGAACCTTTGGTTCCTTTACCTTAGTGGGGAAAGGGAGTCCCAGCGGGTCTAAGACACGGATTTTAGACGAATTAAGGTAGTGATGGACCTCTTCGATAGAGTTCGGATAGTACCAGGGTAAGTAGACGACTCTGGGCTGCAACTAGATCCTAAGTCCAGAAGGTGGTCTAGAATCAGAGGGCCTGGGCCCAGATAAACTGATGGTGAGACCTAAACAAATCGGATCTTTGTTGATTGGGTTCAAATGGTGAGCAATTAGGTAGGTATATCGAACGGACCTGATATGCAAACTCTGTTGTGGGCCCAATCGGAATTGGGCCCCGATTTCGAGTTTTGTTGGAGATGTCTTCGTCTTTGGGCCTATTTGGGCCGTGGACTTTTTTTTTCCCTAACAAGTACGAAATCTTTAACCATCTTGTAAGGCAACACTATCAAAATTATAATATTACGTGTTGGATATACTCATATATACTTCAAGGTTTTTCTTCCTCTTATTTTTTTGATCTAGAATGTTGGTTTCATCTGCAGCAGAGAACTAAGGAATAACAAAATTTCGGGCTCAATTCCATCTGATATTAACCACTACTGGAGTTTGCAGTATATGTTAGTTAATTATATCCTTTCTCTTTTCTATTTTTCCCTTCATAACTTTTTGGTTGTTTTTTTTCCCTCCATAACTTTTTTGTTGTTAGCTAGTTTCTTCATCTTATAATTGTGTAATTCTAATATTTTTCCTTCAGGGATCTTAATTTCAACAATATAAGTGGACAGATTCCTAGATCGCTTTTCCAGTCGTTTATGTTGACTCACCTGTAATCTATCATTTCTGCTCTGTTGTGTCCTTTACCTCCCAGAATGTTCTCATTATATTAAAACATGTACTGCTGCACTTGTACTCAGGTTTCTTGGAAATAATAGGTTAACTGGCACCCTGCCTACCTCTAAAAGTGGGAAACTTCTCAAAATGTAAGCACTTTTAACATATTTGCATTAATCTCGTTACTAATTAACATATCAATTGAAAGGGTAATTTTATCAGCGACAATTTAAATTTGAGTAAGCCATTTGATCAAAGGCTAAACTTGCATTCTACTTTCTCAGTTTAGTGGCTTCCCAATATGAAATTGAAGATGTAAAGCATGTTCCTATTATCAATACCTGTAAATTGATTTGAATAATGCCTGAAGACTGACTAGCAGCTGTAATGTGTAGCTAAAATTCTTCTTACCCTGTGCTTGCAGAGATGTGTCATACAATAATTTATCAGGCAGCATTCGTTCTTGGATAAAAAAACAAAAATTACAACTGTAAGTCTTGAAATTATTCTAAATTTAGATTTCATACTATATTTCATATTCTCTTTGTTAAATTCTTTTTTCTTTTCTTTTTTTTCTAGTTTAATATTCTAATTACTTTACAAAGCAACATGATGACATATTCTGTTAGCTCCTTGGTAAAATTTCATTCAAAACTTTCATTTCTAACAAAGATTTGTATTCTACATGTGGGATGAAGCTAACATTGAGATTTTTATGGGTGCAATGTGCAGAAATTTAGTCGCCAATAACTTCACCCTTGAAAGTAACAGCAGGTGATTATCTCATTTCTATGATTCATTCAAATGCTTGAAACTCTCTATAACAGTTGTGAGCAAGAATAGGTGCCTACTTAAGTTGTTGATGGCACATTTGAGGATTCTTTTAGCATGTTAACCTGTACTGTGAATTTTTTAGAAATATGTTTTATGTATGAAAGAGCAATTATTACATTGAAATAAAAGGTTACTGAGATCAGGCTTTTAGAAATAACCTGATGAAAACGTTATCTTTGAGCAAGAAGTATTTTTTCTATCTTGGGTAGCATGCCTAACCGGAATGTTTTCTTCTGCCTTCATATACTGTTCATTTGAGCTTTGAACTGTGATTCTTGAAAGTTTTGTTATGTAGTTTTAATAATTTTGTTAATTGGACATGAAAATCTAATGGATAAACTAGTAGAATATGGGTGCTTTAGTGGCTGGTTTTTGTATGGTTCAGACAGTCTACCAGCCTTAAATCATTTCATCCTGATTCTGAATCAAAAGCTTAACACGCTCAATTGGAGCAGCTGCAGTCTTTGAAACAGCAGCATAAACTCCTCCCATAAGAAAATCCACCAGAAAACCATAGGCACCGTTCTCTGATGGAGCTTATACATGTAGGGGAGAAAGGGGTGCAAGTGCCAAGCCATTGTCCTGTCTTTCTGGTTGCAAAGAATTCTGCAAACCTCCATTAACATAACCAGTCACATTATAACTACGGGTGTGCAAATTGGGAGACAGCTTGGTAATGAAGTAGGACTGTCCTAGAATTTTCTGAAATACCGATGGATGGTGTGATCCATCTGCCATGCTGGATAAGCTAATGAATGATGGGGAAGTCCAACCGCAGATAGGTTGATTTGGTCGGTAGTATGGTATCCTTTATTCACACTGATGTATCCACTAGTGTTGGTCTGCTGCTAGTAATTACAGGCGGGAGAATTTTTTTTTTTTTTTTTTTTTTGCCCTGGTATTGAGTGCATTCGGGCTCAGAATGTGTTACATTGGATGACTGGGACTGTTGGCAACAGACTAAGGATGTTAGCTGCTTCTTGTTATCACATTACAATGTTCTTGGATGTCATCATAAAGATGATTGCTGGTCCTCCTTCCTCTTGTATTTTAGGTACAGGCCAACAAGCATTGGCAAGTCCCAATTTACTTTGCCTCTTATTCTGGGTTTCATTGCTGGGATTGGGCATAGGAAATTTGATCATTGATGGAGCTGGGGGTGACAGAATTGGATATAAGGCCACGGAGCTGTCAATTGGTTGTATAGATTGTACAGTTCACTTATCATTGGCGGGCTAAGGCCTTTTTTTGTACTGGGCCTGGGCTGTATAGGTTTTGTTTAGCCTGGTTAGGCTGGGCTTCTTTTCTTTTGTTGAGCACTTGGGCCTGTCCAAGTTGCTCACTTAGTTTGTAGGGGTTGTTTCGATTATTCTTTTCTTCTTTATAAATTTTCCGGGATTATCTTTAAAAAAAAAAAAAAAAAAAAAAACCTTAACCCTAAATTTTTATAATCATTAAAACATTTTGTTTTACTTCAAATATTTTTTTATTTAATGAAAATATAATACTAAAACTACGGAATGCATAAGAAAAAATGATGGCTCCTAGGTGGACTAAGTCAAACCATTGAGAAGAATAGAACAGGTCTAATTGTGGGGATTGTTGTTGTGGTTGGGGTTGTATTTCTGTCACTTGCAATTTTCTTGATGACGGTAAATCAAAAGATCTCTGTTATCACTGACGTCTTATCTATCATATTTACTAGCTATGAAAATATTGTTGTTAGTTTGCATCTGGTTCTAGTCTTTTATCTATGTTAACATCTCGGCCATATGCTGACTTAATCCTTTTAAAATGTTTGAATAAGAAGGTGAGTTACATAAACTTTGGCTCATGTACAAGAAAGCTATTGTACACATAAAAGAACAATGTACTTTACTAATACTTGTTCAATTCATTAAGTAGAGTTCCATTAGTAAGTTTTGAAGTGCATCAAAAGCTAAGAACTTGGATTCTAGGTTAATTAAAAAGAATAGAACTATGCCATCATTTTGAAATATATGGAAATCTTGGTCATTTTAGTTTTTTACCAAATTGCTTACCCTTCAGGCACAAAATTGTGTTACAATGCCATGATTAGACAATTGCATCTGTTATTTCCAGCATTTCACATGTTTGACTTGACAACCCCGCTAAAGTATTTGACAAACAAGTTCCTAATAGTAAACTACGTTTGTTGTTGAATTTTTAGAGCTTGTTGGCATGGATGTCAAACCATACACTTTCAGTTATGTGGAACTAAAGACTACTACAGAGGGCTTCAGTTCTCCAAACAAGCTTGGAGAGTGTGGATAGGGACTAGTTTATAAGGTATATCATTGTTCTAGTAAGTGCCAAATGAGTGGTGAGCACATTTGGTGCCTTAAGATTAACTGTTTTTTTCTAGAACTAAATACAGGTTTCTGCATTACTTTTTGTCCTAGATTAACTTGAAAACACGATCTTTTTGGCTTTATATCAATAAATAGTTGGGTCATCTTTGGCTTCTGTTCTCTTTGGTTCATAGAATAAAGATAGGATGTGGTATTTTGTCAATAATAAGCATATAAAATTGATCAATTGTTAATTGATTTTTCTCACCATTTCAAGTTAAGCTGTTTATGCAATAGGGAACACTCAGTGATGGAAGAGTAATTGCTGTGAAGTAATGATCTACAGCATCCCACAAAGGGAAAAGCTAGTTTCTTGCAGAAATTGCTTTCGCATCTATTGTGCAGCACCGTAACCTTGTAAAACTTCGTGGATGCTGTTACCAGGGAGAACAACGAATCCTTGTTTATGAATATCTTGAATTTAACTGTCTTGATCAAGCATTGTTTGGTATGTTAACAGCATACTTGTTAGTACTATATTTTTCCTAGGAGTCATACATTATTGGGTAATAAAATCACAGTTCAAACTTTTGTAAGACTTTTGTAAAGTAGGAAAAAGAAGTTTGAACCTTCATTGGTCAACACGTTATGATGTATGTTTAGGAGTAGCAAGAGGGTCTAGCTTATCTTCATGAAAAGTCAAGGCTTTGAATCATACACAGAGACGTGAAAGCCAGTAATATTCTACTAGATGGTAATCTCATCCCAAAAATATCAGATTTTGGTTTGACCAAACTTTATGATGACAAAAAGACCCATATAAGCACTCGTGTCATTGGGACAATGTAAGACTTTCAATTTACACATGAAATTTATTAAAATATTATGTTACTACATTCATTAGATTACAGAAATTAATTTTGCCTCTATTGTATTGCTTTAGTGGATATCTTGCACCGGAGTATGCCATGTGTGGATATCTTATAGAAAAGAATGATGTGTTTGCCTTTGGCGTTGTGATTCTAGAAGTTGTCAGTGGAAGGCCAAATTTAGATTCAAGCTTGAAAGAAGAGAAGATGTATCTTCTCGATTGGGTATGAATGACATTACAGTATCATTTTTTTCTCTTTTTACTATTTTCTAGAGGCCAAAATTTGATATGTCTATATATATATATACCCTTTTCGCTTTTCTTTTCTACTTCTCCTCCTGATCCAATTACTCATATATCACAACTTCTATGTTTCCTACTTAATTCCTAGGCTTGGCACCTATAAAGGACAACCACCAACTTGAACTAGTGGACTCAAAATTGTTAGAATTTAGTGAGGAAGAAGTAAAAGGCCTGATAGGAGTAGTGCTTTTGTGTACTCAGACATTGCCCTCGTCGAGGCCATCAATGTCCCATGTGATTGCTATGTTTTGTGGAGATATGGAAGTGAGTACAGTAAATTCTAAGCTTGGATACTTGACTGAATGGGCATTTGATGATGCGACCACCTTTGTTAGTGATGATATAAATGAAGACCGTGAAGATACATCTCCCCAGCAAGGTTACATACAACAAATAAAACTCTAGAAATAAGTGCTACTGAAGCCCTGTTACATTGATTGGCTTTTACTTTAGATTCCAATTTTATTTCATGTTAGTTCAACACAATTGTTATTCATAATGTTAAAAAATTTTAAAAATATACAGAATAGATTTTGAACTACTTCCTGTTCAACAAGCACAAGACTGAATCTTCACCAGGAAATGGAAATTGATTTTGAATTACTTCCTCTTCAACAAGCATAGGGGCCAAAGCTTCACCAGGAAATTGAAATAAAGGACTTCTCCATGACATTTATGGAAAGGGTAGATAACAAATAATTTTTTTTTTTGCTTGATTGAAGTGTGAGTTATTGAATCTTCTTTTATGTATATTCTTTGATTTGAATATAAATAAAAGAATATTCTTTGTTATTACTTGAAAGGTGCCCAACTGTTCTATAAGCTTAGCCCAATTATCGCGCTTTAGCTTAGTAATCTGGGACGCAATTGGGTTTTTACAATCCACCTTGGTTTTGCAAGCGACACCACAATAGTACAATCACTCAACCAGATTTCGTCTTTTCAATCAAGTAAGGGATATTAATTAAACATCCACTTAAATTCAATTCTCTTTTTAAAAAAAATAAAACAATCAAAGATCACCTCCTAAATCAAATTTAAAACTTCAAATTTCAGGATGCTACATTTTCTACTTGCTAATAAAAATATAGTCCACGAAATCTAGTTTCAACGTCAACTCGATTAAAGCTTGGGTGAACAATTTATAATATTATGTATACAAAAATACAAAAGTTAAAGAATCTCTACATCCATTGCTTCATATATAAAGAAAATATTGTAGCATGCTAATTATGAAAGAAATTATCCCACTATAATGGTCATATTTTATTAGGAAATAAAGGCATTATACCTAACCCCTTATCACAAAAGTCTCCAATATCTTCTTAGTCAAAGTAAACACACGTCCTTGGTGATCATTGACTTCTTTCTTGGCCTGTTATCAACTTGTTCATCTATGACAGGTGATTAGTTTTTCCATAGCCAAAACATTCGTCTTTAGCTAACATTCTTTATAATGCATTTTTTACAACATTGACAGATATTTATTTGAAAAGAGTCCGTAGTTGAACCCTTTTGAACCATTATTAATGCCACCATTATTTTGTTTATGGGGTAAGTTCACTTGTTTATTTGAACTTCTATTCCAAGACCCGCTTTGATTATGAAAGAAATTATCCCAATATAATAGTCATATATTACCCACAATTTATGTCCAATGTGTTAAATGGTTTGTAAAGTCAATTGTTAGGAAATTTGATAAGAATTATTCATAGTAAATCTAGAGCCTCACGAAAATGATTATTGGAGAGAGGTATATGTGGTGTATGTGATGTGATGTTCGCATGAGTATAATCTGTATTCGGTGTTAATTGTTCATGGTGTTGCAACTGAGACAAATGAAGGATGCATTGGGAATTGGTTTGGTTATAGTAATAATATTAGATGAAGCAACTCTAAACATCTCTCTGAGGTATGTTTTGTTATTACTGCTAGCCTAGTTGTTGTTAGTTGTGATTTTCTTAATTGATTGCCCTGATCTTTTACAATCATTGGGCTTGAAAGAGATAACCTTGGATGGTTGAAAAGCCCTTTCTACAATGAAGTTATATGAACTCAATGACATTTCACATACTCTTGATAAATTATTACAGGTGTTTTAGGATTCTTTGATTTACCATTTGATTGTAAATCCCCATTTTGAACCTAAATAATACGAGAATTTTTTTTTTTTTTTAAAGTGTATTAGATTCAAAGCTTATGAAAATAACTATCCCAAATTTAAGGTAATATTTTTAGTTTTATTTAAGGTTGTTGCTTGCTTGGAACATAGTTACGTATTACACAATTTGACTAAATTGGACAAAAATGGAATTTCATTAATGGATGAGCGATTACATAATAATTAACAATATTCTATCACAACTTAAGACATACTTATGTAAATTTTTTGAGAATTATACTTAAATACTGTTGGATTTATCTATAAAAATATTAATACTACTAAATTGCCTCTTTCATAACTAGTGAACTCTAAAACAATTACAGAGGACAAAAATCCAACTATATAATAATATATTGTTTATGCTTAGAACTTGTTATATGGGTTGAATCCAACAACTTCACTTATTCTATAATTTTTTTTTATTTATTTTCACCACTTGGGTTGTGCATTCTTGGGCCTAATGTTTTTTAACCAATGTGTGAAATCCTTGGGCTTGTGTCATTTGAGTTAGAGGTTTATTTAGGCCTTTGGGCTTACAGCATTTCCTTATATGAAAATGTTGTATAGTTAGCTTTAGGGCTTTTGCCAAGGCCTTATTTCTGATAAGACTTAGCTTGTAGACGATTGTTTTCCCTATGTTGTGACCTTTCTTCTTGTTTGCTTGATCTTTGGGTTTGTCCAAGGCTATTATAGGGGAAGGGCTCCTCTTCCTAAGTTGTAATTTTTTTCTTTTTTATTTAATTATCAAGTTTATCTTAAAAAAATTACTTTTTTCCAAAATAAGTAAATGGAAAAACAATTAAAAAAAGACAAGAAATGAAATAATATATTAAGATAATATTTCCACTTATAACTTCTTACATGGGTTGCATCCAACAACTTTTCATGCATTATTCCAAAGAAAGAAAAAAGTGAATTTAACTATTGATATTGTTAGAAATTTTAACAATTAAAATTTAAATATAGAGTGAAAGTAATGTCTTTAAGGTTAAATTAATTATGTTAATTATTTTCTCTCCACTTTAAGACTTCAACAAATTAAAGTAAGAGTAGTGTTATTTGGATCAATTGATCCAGATCAAAAACATTTTTGGAAAGGTAAATTTACAAATTTACCCTTTAGTAAAATAAAATTATTTTTGGCTCATAAACCTTGCTTTTTGGAGGGAAAACAATTCACATCATTGATATTATGAAAGGATGAGAGAGAAATAATTATTACTTCAATATTTCCAAGCATAGAGGTTGGAAAGTAGAAATTACTTTATTGGAAAGTAGGAATTAATTTATTGTAATAATTAAATTGCTTTAAAAAAAAAAAAAAAAGAAGAAGAAAAACAAAACATGTAAAGGTACCCATTTGCAAGTGTAATCCCTTTTGCAAGTACACGTTTTTTCCTTTTGCAAGTTCATTGTTTTTTTTTTTTTTGTGTCATAGCTTTATCACCCAAAGTTGCAAGTGTAATCCCTTATTACAAGTGTAAGAACCGTTTGCAACACATTTTCATACAAAGGTACAAAGTGTGTTGAGTTAGCTTGGATGTTTAGCCAAGTAAGTAGTTTAGTTATTGATTAAAGTGTTTATTTGAGAAGCATTGTTTTGTCAATTATTTCCTAGAAGTTTAGGGCTGGTTTGTATTTCATTTTATTCAAATTTGTTAGAGCTTAAAGACTATTTTGGTCCTTACTAATTAGCTTAAGTTTTTGGATTCAGTTTGTAACTTAACATGGTATTAGAGATCGGTTGACGAGATGGTCTGTTACATAAATCCTTCCATTTTATTAGCTAAAACTCAAGCTCAAGCTATTTCTTTGTTTATCTGGAGCTGTAGTGCTATTTGGATCAATTCATTTGGATCAAAAACTTTTTTGGGAATTTACCCTTTATAAAATAAAATTTTTAATTGACTTGAAAATTTAGATTACTTTAACACATCTTTTAAGAAAAATGTTTTGTCATGTAATGATAATTAGGTAGCCAATGATTATTATCTTTTCTTAAAATATTTAAGTAAAGATCGACACTATTTAATAATATAGTAAAATATTTACTCCATTGCCAACAACTTTTTATTATTTCAAAAAAAGCAAAAAAGGTGTAATTTAATTATTTATTTTAAATATATAAATAAAGGAATTGCTTTTTGATTATGGGAATAAAAAGGAGAAAAAAGTGGCCGAAAGAACCGAATATTGATAATATGTTCCCTTATTGAAGACAGGGTCAATTATTGTTGACTGGTGAAGTCAACTGTAAATTAAGTTATAATTACAAATTAATTTTTCTTGAACAAACAATATTAAACAAGAGTAATATTGGTTTATACATGTAATGATAATGTTGATGAAATCAGCCGCTTCAGTTTCGGCAATTGTTTGCTTGTATGTCAGTTGCATTTTCTTGCACCTTCTTGTACTTGATGTAGTTCAAACTCAAGCTCAAGCCACTACAGCTCCTCGTGAAGGTCTGCTTCTAAGTAAAATTTTACTTATCTTCTTTTTATTATTTTTAACTCTGAAAAATGCATCACATTCAGACTATGTCACTGACTTCATTCTTCTTATTTTTTGAGTTGCTTCTCTTCTATAACAATGGCAGCATTGAATATAATTTTTGAAAAATGGGGGATTTCTACCAATCAAAATCAATGGAATATAAGTGGAGAGCCATTTAGTGGAGCCGCCATTGACGACTCCATTACCATTGATGCCGATGGTTACAACCCATTTATCAAATGTGACTGTTCTTACAATAATAACACCCTTTGCCACATTATCGAGATGTAAGCAGAAAAAGACAGAATTTTGAGAACTCGAGCCTTTCTTCAATTTCAGGGTTGCTTACTTTTACAATTTCTTAAATTATAGGAGAGTTTACAAACTGAAAGTTGATGGTGTGATCCCAGATGAGCTATGGAGTTTGAATTTCCTCACCTTCCTGTATGGTTTCGTGTATGCTTATTTCAATTGTGTATAATTTAAGATCATTAGATGAGGCTGAGTTGTTATTAAAATATTTTAGTTTATTTTATTGAATTATGTTTAAATCTCTTGACACCATACTGTATCAACATCATAAAATGATTTGAGCTTTGTGTTCTTAAATATTAATTAATCTTACCAGTTTTTCTGTTTTTAATAGGAAGGTGACTGGTAACAACTTGTCAGGTTCACTTTCTCCATCTGTCGGCAATCTAACCGCATTAAAATTCCTATAAGCAGCGGATATAAAATCTTAATTTTAAAACTCGTACTATTTTCCCTTTTTTTTTTTTTAATGCTAATTAGTTCTCATTTTGATTAGGAACTGTGACTTTAATAGATTATCAGGGCAGCTTCCAAAAGAGCTTGGGATGCTTTCTGAATTAGAATTCCTTTAAGCTCAAACTCTGTCCCCTTCTTAACTATATAACTTTTGATAATCTCTTTTTTCATAATTGCATTACAATTATATAACTGAAGAGCTAAATTCTTGGGGATGTAGAGAAATTGGAGCAAACAACTTTTCTGGTCCTCTGCCATCTGAGCTCGGTACTTTGACGAAATTAAAGACATTGTAAGTTTTTATAGATTTTTCGGTTTCATTTTCAATAAAACATTTTGCTTATATTGAGCATATCCTGTACGAACTCTTTTTTTGTAATTGCATTACAATTATAGAACTGAAGAGCTAAATTCTTGGGGATGTAGAAATATTGGAACAAATAGCTTCTCTGGTTCTCTGCCATCTGAGCTCAGTAATTTGACGAACTTAACGAAATTGTAAGTTTTTATAGACTTTTTGGTTTCATTTTCAATGCAACATTTTGCTTATATTGAGCATATCCGACCCCAGTTGGCTTTGGTGTTCACTTTAACATAAACCAAATTCTCAGTTACTTCACACAAGATTATACTATCATGTGTTGCGTAATTCATTTACTTGATCATGATGGCTTTATTGGAGTCAAGTTACCGGATTTGTAAGGAATTTATAAATATTCTTTGCCTTGACAGACATATGGATAGTTGTGGAGTGAGTAGTGAGATTCCTTCTAGTTTCGCTAAACTAAAGAACCTGGAAAAACTGTAAGAACTTTCTTATTCTGTTAATCTTCCAATTGGAATTTTTCTAATATAGATAGGCATTCTGCTATGAAAAATCACTACAACATTATGTATGTCTAGCCATGGCGTTCATTGTAGCTAAAAGTATGAATTTACATAGCTAAATGGTTTAGTTACAAATGCAATGTTTTGTAGCTTATCGTAACTAGAAGTGACGTAACTAAGATTTAGCCATGTAACTTTTTGCTTACGTAACTAACAATTTATATTTTTTACTATATATGAGATTAATATGTAACTAAAAACTTAAATGTTTTTGCCATAACAATAATAAGCTTGTAGCAAAAACTTTGCCTTTATAGTCACGGAGAATAGTCTGTGTAGCTATGTTTGCATTTTAGCTACAAAAATATATATTTATAACTAAATCTTGAAAATTTCTGCTACAAAAATAATATCCATAGCAAATATATTAACCTTTTGGCTACTTGACAGCTAAAATCGTAACTAAATAAAAAATCATTTGCCACATATATATGAATTCATAGCTAATTTTAATTTTTTGCTACAAACATATGAAAGTCATATCTGTATATGAAAAGAATTGCTATGGACATAGTGTGTTATAGCTAATATTGAAATTACTTGCTATGATACTTTTGATTTGTAGCTAAATATTATAATTATTTGTTATGGACATATTAAGTCATACTATATGTCATTCAGTTGCTATGGACAGAGTTGGTTAATAGCTAAATATTGAAATACTTGTTATAAATACTTTTAATTTGTAGCTAAATATTATAATTATTGCTATGGACACAATAATTTATATAAAAAATTTATAATTTATTGCTTCTTAAAATTAATTGTACAAATATTGCTAATTAACAAATTTAATAAATTACAAATTTATAGCAATTCTTTTATTTAAATAGATAATAGGACGTCATATGAAAATTTCTAAACATAAAAAGTTATACATTAACAAAGTCATTTCAACCAAATAATTGTCTACTCATAAATCCTTCATCCTAGTAATTTAAAATGTTATCACTAATTTTTTTTCACAAAATATGATCTTCAATGTCATAGCAATCTTTTCTGTCCATTTAAGATTCCACCAACCTGTAATATCAATTTGAAAAAAAAACTTAGATTAATCATATAGATTAATGTAATCATTGCATATCACTTATGATTAATGTAAAGAAAAATGGTTTTCATAGTATATATGCAATTTTCAAAAATACTTACAATTTCATCCAAAGGGATTTGGTTATTTATTAAGATTGTTGACCTTGAGTTGTAAGCATCATCATGAACTTCTCTTCCATCGTCTATTCATCTCCTCCATTTGCTTTTTCACTTCTTCTAATTTCTCATTTGCTTCCCTCTTTGCCTCCTCCACCCTTTCATTTGCTTCCTTCCTAGTTGTTTGTACTTGTTTCATAAGTTGTGCTTTAGTTGGTCTACTTCCAAAATATTCGGTAATACTTTTTCCTGACCATAAGCACGCAAATAGCCATCTTCTCTGGACCAAGGACCTCTTCAAATATTTCATCATCATTCAATAAGATTTGTCCTTCTACTGTTGCTTTTTAATCGATCAAACTATGACTAAAAAACAAATTTATGGTATTAGCTTGGATGTGTGTGCGTAATAAAAAATCAAGAATAGTTAAAGAGAATACAAACTTTACATAATGTCTTCTATAACGGATTCAACTTGCTTATCTTTTTTTATTTGCGAGATTCTATCCAAACTTCAACATGAGAAGAGTATATCCATTTTTCTTTTGTTGTCATAATAAAATTTATAAACATATTGATTAAAAAATAATGAATGTGAATTATTAAACTTAATCTCATATTGAAAGCAATTCATACCATTTGACGTCTAAGTCGAGCATAACTTTAGTTCTTGTGTAAGGGCATAGACCGCTTTGATCTATTTGTCTTATTCTTGTTACTCCTTCCTGTGTAATGATAAAATAAGCAATAATATTTTATCTATATTACAAAGTAATTATCTAAAATGTAACTTAAATAGCTATGCTTACTTGAAAGGTTGCCTCACTCCAATAATAACCAAATACTTCCAATCGTCCAATGAACAAGTTTAGGCTTGTTTTTTCAGACGCTTGGTAAGTTTGTTTCGAATCAAAATATCTTTTTTTCATTTTGTTCTGTAATCCCTATATAGGCATACATGTGACCAAAATGCTTATTTCCTTCCTTCTATTTCTTCAATACAAACTTCTCCTGAAAAGCATATAAGAAATAAGTTTCAAATTCTACACTTTAATATATTAAACAAAATACAAAATATTATAAATTTATTTCTTATCTGTCTTTCCTTGATAATGTGCCACATTGGTCAATTTCATGTTTTTTAAGTTCTTTCCACTCATTTATTTGTAAAGGACAACATGACTTATTCCGAACTGTTTGTCCTACCAAACAAAATCTGTTGAGTTTTCATCAATACCTGATGATCCTCATCAAATTCTATAGGCAATTTTTCTCCTTTTTCTAATGTAATGATTTTTATGCACGCGTAGGACCTTTTGTTTTCCTTTTTTTAGTGTTTAGACCTAAAACTCACATGAATATTTATTAATTAGCAAATTAGAACTGCACGACATTTAGAAAATGAAAATGCAGAAAGTAAAATGAAAAAAAATTAAAATTAAAACCTGATGTCCATGCCTCAATTCCAACTCTGATGTGTGTTCCTCCGAAAATGTCTGGTTGACTTCTCTCAAACATTTCCAAGATTATGTTCTTCGGGGATAGCAGGCACTATATCATCCTTTTCTAAGAGGTAACTGTAGCATGCATTCCCTTAGTATTTATGTAACTTGCAAGCATGTTTCTCACTTCATCATCATCAACTTTTGGACTAGCCCATCAAGATCACTGAGGATACTCGTTGGCCTCAGGTAAACAACATTTGTCTCCCGAGTATATCAAAGTCACAGTTCTTCTTTATGTAATCCAACAAAGCAAAGTATGTGAGAACCTCGAATTCCAAATCAAAATCATAGTACTTCTCACTCACTCTACCATTGACATACGTTCGTGTAGGTGAAGACAAATATCCTCCATGAGGAAATCTTATGTTCTCATGTCCAGTATGCCCATTCTTCCATTATAAAAAAGTAAATTCAAGTTAGATGAATTTAAATAAACTAACAAATAGTATTAATAATGAGTGTACATGATAGATATACAATGAATTGATTGGTGATCAAAAATATTAAAAATTGACTAATGATGTTTACCATAGAATCAGTTGCTTTTTTTGGCTGTATACGAGAAGGGTGATTAAGCATGACTTTTCAATGCTATTTGTAGTAGATTGCACCTTATTGGTTGTGCTTCATGATGAGTTTTTTGCATATCTTGAGAGATACTATCGGAAGGATCACTCTTTTTGTCAGTGGGCTTAGCTTTTCTTTTGCCTTTAACTAAACCTCCACGCCTACTCATGTTGTTGGTATTCTAAAAAAGTATTATTTACAATAAATAAATCATTGAGTTAAAATAAATAAATGAAAAAAAGACATATTGAGCTTGACCATAAAACGGAAAATTTCCTTAAACCCCAATTGCACAATCACTCATCCATTTTCCAAAACCTTAAGTTAATGAAGCAGACTGCATAAAAAGCAAAGTGGTCATGAAAAGAACTTTGTGAATGTATTTATGTAATGGTATTTTAAGCAGAGTGGGTCATGAAATAATATATTGTGAATGTATTTATGTAATGATTTGATGCCTCGGGAACTGCCTTAAGATTGGTTTCTTGGTTGCAATACTAATTAAATATCTGTTCACTCCCCCAACCAAAACAACCGTGAGTGCACAAATAAAATAACTCTGCTAAATCAAAGAAACCTAACAGATGTGAACAAACCATACACTTACCACATAACACCCGTAAGATTACTAGCATTGGTAAAAAAGTGAATATGATCATTATTCAGAGAATTGAGATGTTAAAAGTTTTTTATTTTTATTTTAATCAAAGAAGGTTATTTAAAACTTTCTCTATATAAACTCTACTTATATAAACCATATCAAATAGAATGGAAGTGAATAGAATATAAGCATTGTATTTAATTAACATTAGAATAGATAACATGTTTGAGTAGTCAAATTTGGCAGGCAGGGCAAGTTTCATGAATAATATAATAATAAAAACCATAAACAAAGGTGACAATTTCATAATATAAAACCATAAACAAAGGTGACAATTTCATACATAACATCTAATACAAACCATCCAATACAAATTATAACTGACAGTATTTATTGACTTCACATTACATCTGGAAAATTAAATTTCAACTACATTGCCGACACAGCAGACATGGAAAGACTCAAAAGCTAAATTAGCAAGCTAAGATCGAAAATGTCAAAACAAAAAAAAAAATATATAAAATTAGCAAACTCTATGACACTTTTATTGCAGCAGACAGCTAAAGTAGTAATAAAAGCAGAGGCACTCTACAGTTCTTTTATATCCACACGCATGGCCAATTTAATTTATATATAAATATTTTTTCTCAAAATTTGGTATTATGTGATTGATGTGTGGAGGCATGACCAAATTTAATATATAGTATAAATTATTTTTTCTCAAAATTTGACATTATGTATTAATGTGTGTTTTGATTATGTGTTTTTATCATAATTGTGTCTTAAAAAAATTTATAATATCAAATAAGTGTATTTTCTGAAAACCCTAGAAAGTTGTAAGATTTCGTCCTCATATAAAACACATAATGCACGAAAGAAATAAAGCAAGTTGTAGAAGAAAACTTATCTTTAAAGAAAACTAATTCTTGAAAGAAAACTGCAAGTAAAACAATTTGCAAAAGAAAAAAAATGCACAGAACACTAGAAAATAAAAACCTCAATGACGTAGTATTGGTTCCAAAAAGAAAACTAACCTTTGAAGCCTGATTATTGTCTGGAAATTCTTCTGATGGTTGTACTCGTTTGCCGTGCCT